GAGGAAAGGGTGTCGCGTCTGTCTGCTGATCGCACGCAACATGAAATAACGCGCTCTCTAGAAACGCATGAGGAAAGAGTGTCGCGTTTGTCTGCTGACCGCACCCGCCACGAAATCACGCGCACTCTAGAAACAAATGAGGAAAGAGAGTCGCGTTTGTCTGCTGACCGCATCTGCCACGAAATCTCACGTTCTGTAGAAACGCATGAGGAAACGGTGTCGCGTATGTCTGCTGATCGCACGCAGCATAAAATCACGCGCTCTCTAGAAACGCATGAGGAAAGAGTGTCGCGTTTGTCTGCTGATCGCACGCGCCACTAAATCACGCGCACTCTAGAAACGCATGAGGAAAGGGTGTCGCGTTTGTCTGCTGACCGCATCCGCCACGAAACCTCACGTTCTATAGAAACGCATGAGGAAAGAGTGTCGCGTCTGTCTGCTGATCGCACGCAACATGAAATCACGCGCTCTCTAGAAACGCATGAGGAAAGAGTCTCGCGTTTATCTGCTGACCGCATCCGCCACGAAATCTCGCGTTCTGTAGAAACGCATGAGGAAAGAGACTTGCGTTTATCTGCTTCTCGAATTCGTTACTGTGATAGGCAGGAAATTAACGCTCATCACCAGGAAGAAGAAAGGAGTCGTGTGCAAGAACTGCGACAATCACAACACAGTGACATCCGAATGGTGCACTTAGAGGAAGACCGCATGCGCCATGTCGTTCTTAGGCTGCCTGTTCGCGATGATGATGCTTCCATGGTATGCGATTCGGAAGATTTACAATGGACGGAAATAGAAAAAAGTGCATTTTATTATGACCCGTTAATAAAATATGCCGATAATACTAATCTTGGCTCAAGGAACAAAAGATGCGCGCATTGCCGTGCCCTGAAGTGGGATCGAGAACCCAAAGGAATGTGTTGCTCATCTGGCAAAGTTAATTTAGAAAGGATACAAGAACCACCAGAACCTTTGAAAGGATTGTTGAATGGAGAACATCCGCAGTCGAAACACTTTTTAAGCAATATACGGGCCTATAACAGTGCATGCCAGATGACTTCATTTGGAGCAAATCAGATCATTGAGGGGGCATTTAAGCCTACTTTCAAGATACAGGTACAAGTCTACCATCTAATCGGCTCTTTGTTACCGACCGATGTTCCAAGGTTTCTGCAAATATACTTTGTAGATAATTACCAAGAGCAAGCAAATATTAGGCAGCAACATATACCTAATTTAGACTCGGGTTTGGTAAGCATTCTACAAAATATGCTTCATAATGTGAACCCGTTCGTCAACAGCTTTAAAGCGGCACTTGAATCCGTCTCAGATGACGAGTGCAGTAATTACAAGTTTGTAATTACTGCTGATAAAAGGCCAATTGGATCACATCCGGGTCGCTATAATGCACCAACCACAAATGAAGTCGCTGTCCTGTTAGTCGACCAGGATTGCGATCGGAGGGACATTGTGATATGCACTCATGACGATCGACTTCAAAGAATCAGTGAGACTCATCGCGCTTATGATTCGTTGCAGTATCCTTTAATGTTTTGTCGAGGTGAAGACGGATACAATTTTGGCGTATATAATGTTGATCCTCGCACGGGTGCTCCGAATTTTAATAAAAAACTTCTGCAATGCAGTTCAACAGTTTTTTAATCCAATTACGCGAGAATGAACACATCTTCTTACACCGGTTTCGGGGCCTTTTTAATCAATTTTTAGTGGATGTATATGCAAAAATTGAAACTGAACGATTAGTATTCATACGCGCCAATCAGAAGAAACTACGTGCGGAAAATTACATAGACCTAAGAGATGCGTTACAACACGATGCTGATGCAGAAAACTTAGGTAGGATGATAATTCTCCCTTCCACATTCACTGGTAGTCCCAGATATATGGCCGAGCGAACTCAAGACGCCTTTTGCTATGTTAGAAAGTATGGGGGCGCAGATTTGTTTATAACTATGACAACCAATCCTAAATGGCTCGAAATAGAAAACAACTTGCTTCCTGGCCAGGTTTCCTACGACAGGCACGACTTGATTTCTCGAGTGTTTCATTTAAAACAAAAACGCTTGATATATCTTCTTACAAAAGAAAAACTATTCGGAGCGGTCCGCTGCTATATGTTTTCAATCGAATGGCAAAAGCGTGGGTTGCCTCATTCGCACAACCTTTTATGGCTCGAAGAGAAGATTAGGCCGAACGAAATTGATCGAGTTATTAGTGCGGAAATCCCGAACCCAGACACCGATCCCATTCTACACAACATTGTCAAAACCAACATGATTCATGGCCCATGTGGCTCATTCAATGCAAACTCACCTTGCATGAAGGAAGGCCTTTGTACGAAGAGGTTTCCGAAAAAGTTCGTAAACGAAACTGTTACTGGTGAAAATGGATACCCATCTTACCGCCGCCGAGCACCTCAAAATGGCGGTTTCACTGCCGAAGTAAATATGCGCGGACAATACGTTTCAGTTGACAATCGGTGGGTAGTGCCTTATTCGCCAGTACTTTCTCGAGCATTTGAAACTCATCTGAATGTAGAATACTGCGCTAGCGTGGAATCGATAAAGTATATCTGCAAGTACGTAAATAAGGGAAGCGACCAAGCGACATTTGGTTTACAGAGCAGTGATCGTGACGAGGTGACCAAATATCAATCAGGTCGCTATATAAGTACTTCGGAAGCAGTGTGGCGAATACTTGGCTTTTCCATCCACGAACGACATCCTCCTGTAATGCATTTAGATGTCCATTTGGAAAACGGGCAGCGGGTGTATTTTAATCCTGAAAATGTAAGGGAACGTCTAGAAAATCCTCCCTCAACCACACTCTTGGCGTATTTCAATCTGTGTCAACAAGATAGTTTAGCACAAACGCTCCTGTACAATGAAATACCGTCCTACTACACATACAATAAACAAAGAGGAGTATTTAATAGACGCCGACGCGGTCAGCCTGTAGAGGGGTTTCCAGATGTCCATCGCGAGAATGCAATAGGACGAGTGTATACGGTGCATCCAAGTAATAGTGAGTGCTATTACTTGCGACTTTTGTTGCACACAGTCAGGGGAGCCACTTCATATAAATATTTGAAGACTGTCAATGGCGTTGAACATTCTACCTTTCACGGAGCTTGCTGTGCACTGTGTCTGCTAGATGACGACCGAAATTGGTTTGAAACTCTTGAAGAGGCCGTTGTCAGTGAAACTCCCAGTCGACTGCGGCATTTGTTTGCAGTTATGATAGTGTTCTGCGGACTTTCCCATCCTGTACAGCTATGGGATAAATATCAGCGGCATCTGTTAGAAGACTTTCTCTTCGCGGCTAGTCGAGCTGATGGAGATAGTATTGCAGGTTCTGATGAGCTAATCGTTGTCTTTCGTCGCTTCAAGACATTGTTATTTCAATAAGTGGCAATCCTTTGAGTCATTACGGTCTTCCAGAGCCGCAGGAAACCACGGAAGCTCAGTGAGTTAGTAGAGAGTATGCAGCGGAGACAAATTACAGTTATTCTGCGATGACCGAAATTGTAAACAATAATTCTGGGACCCTTACCGATGAACAAAAGTCTGTATATAACAAAATATTAACAAGTGTCAATAAACAGGATGGCGAAACATTTTTTTTGGACGCCCCTGGTGGTACAGGCAAAACCATTTTGACTCGACTACTACTAGCTGAAGTGAGACGACAAGGGAAGATAGCACTAGCTGTCGCCTCATCGGGTATTGCTGCCACTTTACTCCCTGGAGGCAAAACTGCCCACACTATGTTTAAGATACCCTTGAACCTCGATATAAATGAAATCCTAGTTTGTGCCGTATAGCGAAATAGTGAAAAGGCGAAGATTCTTGCAGAGTGCAGCCTAATCGTTTGGGATGAGTGTACGATGGCGCACAAGAAGGCCGTGGAAGAAGTCAATCGCACTCTCCAAGACATCCGACGAAACGATCACATCATGGGAAGAATAACTGTTTTGTTTTGTGGGGATTTCCGTCAGACTCTACCCGTTATAACCCGCGGAAC